CCCCCCCCCCCCCCCCCCCCCCCCCGGTCCTTGAAAAAATGTTTCTGCTTGAAACCGGTCCCTGGTACAAAAAAGGTTGGGGACCACTGCTTTAGAGTAATCGCACAGGTATAAGTAACAATTTCTTCTGTCCCACTACTGTTCATTCTTTAAAAAGAAATTCAAATGACTTCAAAGGACCCAGATGAATCTACGTTTCTCAATTGACATTACTTCAGTTTCCACAACTCAAATCAATAAGCCAGAACTCAGTCTTTGTACAATTCTGCAGACAATGTCTGGGGTTATTGTGGGCTTCTAGGCATTGGTGGATTCCAGTTCACCTTGTCCCTTGGCCACTGGCTTAAGCTGATGAGTATTTGAATCTAAATGTTTGATGAGTATTTGAATCTAAATGTTTGTGGTTCCTCAACACTGTTATTATAGAGAAGCTGCTGGTTAAAAAAGTATATCAAAGAAGCAGTCCTTATTTTGGGCAGCCGTAAAGTAATTTTGCTCCACTGACCAGTGCAGTTGCTGATCCACCATGCATACCTGCACTAGATCCTGCTATTTTGAGACCTTTTGATTTGCATTCCAATTAGTTGATTGCTGATGTTGCAAATGAAACTTTTGGCCAGTTTCTTTTACAGGCAATAATTTAGCTATGCCAATTCTCTACAAGCTCTCTGCCAGCCACTCTAAACTTACAGCTGTTAGATATGGTGGAAATACAACTCCCTGGAAATTGTGGAAATTTCTGCCCCCCCAAATAATTGATGTGATCCAAGTTGCCAAAGGCTGCACTGTGCTTTGCAATGCTGCCACTGCTAAATAAGACCAGGTTTATTTTCTTCTGATTTCTGTTTCTCAGTGGCAGCATTGTCTCTCTCTTTCAGTCGCTCTCATTAGCAATGCAAAAGATGCAACCCCCCCCCCCCCATAAAACTGGAAAATAAGTTTTTGTAAATGCAGCAAGATGTTCGATGAAGTGCCATTAATGGAAATCCTTCAGTTCTCAGACACTTTAAATCATAGAGGCTGAGCGATTCGTTTACTGAGTATTTGGTATAAACCTGCACTTTTGGGCCATGGATTATTTCTGTATGATTCAGTAAGTCTGTATGAATGAATATGAATAGAGAAAGGGCTGTTCCCTTTGCTCAGCAAACTTCATTCTGTGTTGCAGCCTCTCTGATTGTGTTGTATCACTGATGACTAAGAGAGGAATGCAGAGATTTTGTCAGGGTTCTTCTACCACAGTATTCTAATGCAATAGCCCTTTCTAACACGTCCTCGGATAACTGTTACAATATGTTCTTGTATTTGAGATGTTATTAAAATATTTATGTGAAATCAAGAATTTCATTGGACCCTCCCTTCATTTTGATTGATCCTACAAACGTTCATTCAGGAAGAGGGCACAATTATTTTGTCTGGGGCATAATTGTCTTTTCATAACATTGAAAGCCATAACACGCAGCAGAATGTCACAAAGCTAGCAGAAAGGCACATCCTTCCTTTTCTCCTATTTCTTTGTGGTCCTACCAGAGGGTAAAAAGTACCTCTCTAGAAGTTCTAATCTCCTCAATCCTAACCAGCATGGTCAGTGGGGATCGTTGTGCAACAGCATCTGAAAGTCCATACGCTGCTTTATTGTTCTGACCTAGGCTTCCCCAACAGCACGAAGCCGAGTCCTCATCCCGATAAACCCCTTTTATTTAATTTACAGTGAATTCCTCTCCAGCAAAGTCCTGGCCAACAGTCTTTCAAGATAGTTCACAATTTACAGACTTTTATCAGGCTTGGAGAGAGGCCAAGCTGATATCTTTCAGACACCACCAGTGGTGGGATTCAGCCAGTTCGCACCACTTCGGGAGAACCAGTTGTTAACTTGCTGAGCAGTTTGGTGAACTGGTTGTTGGAAGAACTCATTAGGGCAGAGAACCGGTTGTTAAATTATTTGAATCCCACCACTGGACGCCACAATACTTGGCAAGAATGCAGGAATGAACTAATTGTCTCCTGCAAAACCCCACTCCCCTTTCGCTCCTCTTTTATTCCTTATGGGAGGGGCCATTCACCATCCACCTGTGGTTTTACTCTCAAGTCAATCCTTGTTCTTTAGCTGTTCCCTTTGTTTGGCAACTCTGCACATGTGCACACTGGGAACAGGCTCCAGCTGTTCTTCTGCCTCACTGATGTCCAACTCCAAAGGCAGCGGATAACTGTCAGACGGCCCTGGCCCCATCTCTGCCTCCGACGCAGAGCACTCGTCAGAGCCTTCCCCAGACTCCAGGCCTGGCCCATGTTCCTCCCCAACCTCCTCACTGTCTGATCTGTTGCCAGCTCTGCTGGCTGCTGATGAGCCACAACATTTATTTTCGCCTTAAAAGTGAGAAAGATGTTCTGATCCCAGTAGGCCACAACAAGCAAAAAGGAGTTGGGATCTTTTCCTGGTTCCATTGCTTCCTGGGAGAGAAAAACGAGAACCATTTGATGAGCCCACTTTGGTAGCAAAATATTAGCCCTGCCAGGTGGGATAGTTCCAGAGGGCATTGCATTGGGGAAGGTTGCTATGGATATACAAAGAACATGCGATTCCATTTGCCAGCCTCCTTATCTTGGTGACCCAATTGCATTTTAAATGGTAAGAACTAATTGCAAACCTTCCTGTCAGTTTCAGAAAGCTGTTTCCCGTCTCGTTCACATTTTATAAGCCTTCCTCATCTACTGTCTTACAGTATACATTTGTTGAACTTTGGGTTCCGTCAAACATTTGGGAAGTCTGATTGTTTAAAGCCAAAGATAGATGGAATATGCTATGACATGATGCTTTTAATAGTTAAATCAGCCAAAGCTTGGCTGTTATATGCAAATAGTCTGCCTCCTAGCTTGTTTATCACAATTTGTGGGAAAGTACAAAGTTAAAGAGAACTGGGAACCAAAAGGTGCTATTGGAGATACAGGTTTATTAACAATAAAATCAAAGAATACTTCCCAAGACATAATCTTTTTTTAACATATGAGGATCAGTTATCAAAAACCGTCTTCAATCCTCAGATGAAACAGGTTTCAGTGTCTTTTGCATTATTGTAGTCAGTTATCTTTTGAATATATGAAGCCACTTATCTCAACTGCTTTCTGCCACCTGTATTTCAAAGTGTTCAACTTCAAAAGCCCGTCCAGGGTTCTTCAGATGTTAGGGCTTCAGTTCTGGCTGAGCTG